GTCTCTCCTGAAGGCGTTTCCTTTGTTATCATTCTTCCATATTACTAGATTAACATTATAATACCTTCATGTGTCTCAAGGAAAATAAGTTGAAGTATATCTGAACTTGTTCTTATATACTTCCTTGCTTCAGCCCGTTTCCCATCAAGTTAGCAGAAGTTTTGTTATATCTATGACAGGGTTATGGAAATGAGGAAATGGGATGAGTTTGAAAGTTAAACAACACTTTAAGCTCCCGCGAGTTTCTCGCGATTTTCCACGTGCCTTTTCTGAAAAAAAAATAATAATAAAAATAAATATTATGCCGCATTCCTTTATTCGGTGGCAAACCACAAACAGATGGAACAAATATCAAATAACCGGTTAATTAGTGATCGGCTGGTAATGATCATGTATGGTTGTGTGAATTACATATCTAGTTCATGTTAACCTTTGCGGGGAAATGAAATTAATTTCAGTTCTTGTTGATTAGTTAATATTTGTCGCTGGGTATTAGTTTTAATTTCATGTACCTACCAATATTCAATACTTGGAAAATAAGTGCAAACTACGTACGACTATTGTTTGTATCGAAAAAATCACCCTAAAACGTGAGAAAGAGGGGGTGAAAATCTCCTAAAACATACAAAACCAAGCGATTGTCGATGTGTTCTAAAACCAGCCTCGGACCTATAATCGAGAACTTAGGGTTCACTTCAGTATATAGAAAGAAGTGAGACAAGCCAAAGAGTGGTAGCCGTCAATTAATAAGAATAGGGAGAAAAAGAAATAGATAACGTCGACTAGCTATAGAAAATGTAGAAAACGATAAACAACTACCTATTTCTATGAAGGAAAATATGCCAAAAGTGATTTAATCTAGATTACACTAGAAAGATATGATAAAAATACATGAAAAAAAAGACATAAGAAAATAGGCAAAAAACTATTTAATCTAAACTACACTAAAAAAACATGATAAAAATACATTAAAGAAAAGACGAAAATGGAATAAAAATGGTAGTCGATGATGATCGATGTTGAGAGGTGTTGTCCCTTCTCGTCCCGCACACGGCTTCCTTAAGTAGAGGAAATAATCGGCTGCTGGTTCTTAGGCCGAAATACTTGCTCGGGGTTTGGGGAATGAAGTGGTGTAATAAACTTCCACTTCTCTTGTTTGATTAAATTGGCCAGCCGAGGATGTCTCCAAATAAGCCAAAATGGACTCCAATTCTTTATTATTTTTTTGAGAAGAACTAGGCAGCAAATTCCATCTATCCAAACTTGTAATCAACTAAATATTCTATGACCTTCCTTCCCCTTTGCACGCAAATCCACAAGGTCAACCTGATTAGCTAAATACTTCATGTGGCCTTCTTCCCGTATCACTCGTAATAGAACTCCAGTAGCTGAAGTATCCACCCAAAATATCCTCCAATTATTTAGGAAACAGTAGGAGCACGTAGGAAGCTTCTCAAAACCAAGCCAAGTGGGACTCCATTCAATCCCTAGCCAAATAGGAATAGAGTTAAGTCCCAAATATTATACCTAAATTATAGGAAGCAAATCAAATCGGATAATAATTGTTATTCCTTCTCCAATTCGAAAACCAATATTAGGGCAACTTCGTCTCTTCGGTTGATGGCTAAATCAGCCCGTCCAAGGACCCAAATTCATTTTGGGTCCAACTGATATCAAGGCTAGTACGCTGCTTTTGATACAAAGAAGATCAGTCTTTGTTCAATGCAATATCCGTAATAACTTGAGACATCTTTATTTTGTTCTAATACAAAATTTGGTTAACCACACGTTTATTTGTTGAGTGAAATATGGTTTTTGTTTACCCCGAAAAAAAAAAAAGAACAAAAAAAAGAAAAAAAGAAACAAGTAATGGCAGGGGACAGTAATATCTCCGACTTCAGCTTATCTAGCATCTACCACAAGTAGAGTGAAAGAAATCGATCCAAATATAAATTCAAACCGTGGAAATAAACAACTTCAATTCAACGGCTGACGAAAAAATTAATTATGACTCCAGTTGATTATGGTCTACTCCACACCAACTACCTGTGTTTACGAAAAATCAATGCTTGCCATCTCTCTCTATATATATTTCTTTTAGGAAGATCCGACATTTCCACATATCATCAAAAGTACTCTTCCGAATCTTCTCCAATCCATATATAAGCTTAATTGGTTGAGACACTTTTCTGTTCTTCAATATTCTGAAACATGCTTACTAGTTTCATCAACAATCAGAGCTTCACGTTGCGGAAATTTATTTACAGGTTTGAATTTCTTTCTCCATCAATTATTTTAGCTTCTTGAGTCTGAATTTTTAATTATAGTTTCTTCTTTCTTTTTCATTTATTTTGGTTAATTTACACCGACGGATGTATCTTCCTTGCTTTGACTCAGTCTTATGCCCAGTAAACTTAAGAATCACCGCTGGTCCAGCTATCATGATACGGATCCGAAATTGAAATTGGAGATTGCTTCCATGCCGCGTTTAAGCTCTCTCGAGTTTCTTGCTATATTCAAATACGGTTGTAGATCCTGAAATGGCCTACTACGGATGCCAGGTGACGTTGCTTGATATTTCGGGAGGTTTGAGATGATTAAAAGGGCAAGCAAATGGGATCAACAAAAAATACAATTCGGTTCTTAACGGGGATAAGAAGATTAGCGGAGTCATTAGTAGTTTTCTGATCTTTTTTCAATAGTGACTTATGATTTAGTTTATATACTGTTTTTCCATGTATACTATTGTCTGTTTTAGAACTGAATATTTATTGTGAACCTCTACATACCAAAGATATTGGTGAAATTTTATAGCTCAATGATTATTTTATATTAGTAGTATACTGATGGTTTAGTCATTTTGATATAAAGATATACATAGACGTTTGTGCCTCTTATTTTTGTCATAAAATTTTATGACTGATCATGCTCGCTAAATAAAGGTAATGAAACTAGTTAAAATCAATCTGAATTCAGTCAAAAGTAAGTTGAGTCAACTAATTTCAACCTTGAGAAGGGTCTACTCCAGTTTACGTAGAAACAAATTTGCTAGATTTTTCCACTTGGAGGGAAAAGGAAAAAGAACCTCCGCGTTAGAGAAAAAGTGACTGAGCATTAAGTTTCAAGGAAAAAAGAAAATCACAAAACCATGTACAAATCATTTTAATGATCTTTGCTTATTGATCAAGTTAACTATCGCATTTCTTGGCCGGTTTGGACACCTATTTTCATTTTCTATTTCCGCTAAATTTATTTTAGTTGAATGATATTTAAAATTAGTATTAAAATGTAGTTAGTAAAAAAAAGACAGTACGTAAATATTTCAAAAATCACTCAATGGTGAAATGTTTATATCCATAAACAATGAGTAAAGCCTGAAGCTCTCATTTACTCAAAGATAGGGACGATAAAAATTAAATGAACAATAAATTTTGGCAGGAGATTCTCCTTCCAAGTACTTCTGTGACAAAAATCAATATGCTGGCATTCTATAATGGAGTATTAATTCTTCTGCCCTTCATTTATCTTTTTTTTTTGGAACAAAAAAACAACAACTTTATATATAATTATGAAAAAATAGGGCAGCGAATATACTAAACCCTCTATCAAGTACAATTTTAACCTTATGCAAAATTAGCATCCTTATTGAATCTAGAGGATCGACGATTTCGAACATTAGATTGGCCTTGCTTTTCTTCTTGTGATTGTTATGTGGAAGAGCATGAACTTCACTGTAAAAAGACTCTCGTTCCATTTCCAGTTCCATATCAAATTCATCATCTTCTAAACCATTAGAGGCGTGATTTTGTCCACCATCAGAGTTAATGTGACCAATTGAGAAATTTGTATCAAAAGACTCTGTATTCTTCCCTACCTCCATATCATCTTTGAATATGCATTGCCTTGGGGTTCTAATAGGGAGTAAAACTTGGAGAAGAGGGATTTTTGGTTGAGGTGAATAGGAAAAATCTGCAGCACCAAGATAGAGTTATTTATCAGTGGAGCTATTAATAGAGTTATTTTGGGAAGATATTCCTTCCATATTTGACGGAGAAGATTGTGGGATATTCTACTCCACTCTCCTCTCCTCTCTAAACTTTCTCCTCTATCCCTCCTATGGCCGGCGATCCGCCACTGGTCATAGGCCCTATCTCCAATCAAACATCCCCAAAAATCATCTTTTGCTCAGATTCTAGGATCTGGGATTAACCCGAAAATCATTCATGAACGTTCAACCAATCAATCACATTTCAATCCACCTGTAATACACTCAGAACCAACATTTTTCAAGGGCGAGTCAACTTTTCTTCTTACGAAAGAAGAAGATGCTCAATTGGCTTCCCCTTTTCGCCTTGCTCTTGTTGGGAAATTCACTAAGGGGCGGCCAAAAATGAAATTCTTCATAAGAGAATTACAGACTATTGGCTTCAAAAGAAACTTCTCCCTTACGTCGATTGATTATCGACATCTCCTTATCTGCTTTGACTTAGAAGAGGATTTTCATCGCTATTGGTTAAAAGGTTTATGGACTTTTGACACGCATAGGATACGAGTTCTCAAATGGGCTACCGATTTTAATCCCGCACATCAAAGCTCAATACTCCTAGTTTGGATCTCATTCGAAGGTCTTCCCATGCATCGATTCAACAAAGACTATTTGTGGAAATTAGCAAGTATCATTGGAACTCCTCTCCAAATAGATCTTCCAACACTCAACATGTTGCGACCATCTGTGGCAAGAGCCTGTGTAGAGTTGGAGAGTTGGATCTTCTTAAGGAATATCCAATTCGGTTCCGACTGGGTGTTGAAGGAGAAACTTATTTCAAGTAAATTTTCTATCAAAACATGCCTCAGTATTGTGTTGATTACAAAAAAATAGGGCATGATTATCATTCATGTCGACACAAAACTGTTGCTCCATCATTGCAAAAGATAGAATTGAATATTCGAAGCAACAATCAAAACAGCAAGTCCAAGAAAAACAGTCAAACACGTTGGTTATGGAGGAATCATCATCGGAAATGGGTGAAATACCTAATCCGTCTTGTTCGAATGCTGCCTGGCCGCTGCTGCAAGATGCAACCCCGGTACCTTCTGGTCAACCACCATTGTTAGATGCAATCCCTGCCCTCTCCAAGGTTGTGCAGCCGTTGCTGCAAGTCACCGAAATCTTAGAAAGCCCAGCCTCTGAAGTTGCACAACCGCAAGCCAAAGATGCTGTTGTGGGTGAAGTCGTGCCGCAGATGGTGGCACAAACACTTACTATTAAAGCTGATGTTGTCGATCAGAGTGCCTCTGATGCTGTAGAGGCCGCTTTTGTTGATCAGAGAGCTTCTTCGAATCCGATAGTTACGCAAGAGCCTTCTGCGCAAACCCTCACAACTCCCAATCCGAGAACCGCAGCCCCTGCTGATGATGAGTTTGAGACTGGAAATCATCAAACAAAATTTTCTCCACCATCAATCGTGGGTGCTGAGCACACGATAGTCATCAACGAAGAAAATTCAGAGTCGTCGGGAGGGCATCGACGGCAAAAATCGGCGGGGATTCGTCGGAGACCACAGTTGGACGTTCCACAGTTGTCGCAGTCTTCTGCCCAACAGTCTCCCCAAATTTCAACGTCAATTGAGCAGCCAAAACAGCCTCATTCGGATTCTCCAAATTTTAGTGTGGATAAGTCAAAATCAAACTCTTTCTCTCAGTAATCATCTCCCTTTAATGAGGAAGGAATATCTTCCTCCAATAACTCCAGTCAAAGGTTAAATCCCCAAGCTCCAGAATTTACCATCTCTCCTCAATCGCAAATTCCTATTCTACCGATTTTACTACCAATCACGACCCCAAAATCATACTTGTCCAAGTTTCAGGGACAGTTTTTCTTCCCCATGTCTACATGTGGTTTGCTACAAAACGGGCCGTTTCCGTAGACGAATAAGGGGCGGAACGGTTTAGAGCCTTGCGGAATTCTCCGATCAAATCTTGAAGACTCTGGAATTCTCTAGAAAGACCTGGTGCTTTCTAGATATGTGTGGAACCTTGTGGAAGGGTCTTGGGTTTGCTAGAGGGTGTTGGAGGATTCTACACAGTTGTAGATATTTGTAGACACGGAATATTTTATTGTAAGAATTCTCTACAATTCTAATATTTTAATACTTGTATAGAATTCTCTAGAATCCTTGTAGACTTGGGGACTTGCCTATAAATTCCCCATGCCCCCTCATTTGTAAAGTATCCAAGCGTTGAGTAAAGTTCTCAAAGCATTCCTTAAGCTCTCTTGTGCCTTTATCACTCTTTCATTTCCAAGCTTTCTTAGCTTTCTTTTGTCTACGGTCTTTAAAGCTTTGCAAAGCTTTGCACATTCTTGTGGGATTAAGGCTGGACTAGCACTTGATTGTTCGTTGTTGTGCTAGTGTCGCACGACCGTTACTTTAAAAAAGTAAGCCCGTGACACAAAGATTATACAGAGCCGAGCTTTTTAACCCAAGTTATTTGATTGATGAAATAAATTCCGAAGACGAACTAAATCATGCTTCCAATGGTTATGATGATGACGATTTGGATATGGAATATGCAATGGAAGAAGAGTCCTTCTACAGCGATGTTTCTGCTCCAACATATCACAATCATTCGAAAAATGCCAAGGCTAAAGCTAAAGTTCAAGTTCGTCGATATGCTACATTGAATAAAGAATCAAATTTACTTTAAGATAAAAATTGTACTTGATATAGGGTTTAGTATATCCGGTGCCCTATTTTTTCTTTATTATTAATAAAATTGTTTTTTGTTTGAAAAAAAAAAGATTGTGGGATATTTGAAGGACAAGATTGTGGAGAAGATTGTGGGATATTTGAGGGAGAAGATTGTGGGATTTCAAAGTTTGATCTCAATTTTTCCACGTTTGAAATTTGAATTTCCAGATCAGATAATCTCGGAGGTGTTAACTGCATAATAAGCGTTGAAATCACGGGATTTGGTTGCGAGGGTAGCTGCGCCAAAGTTGTTGGTTGCGAGGGAGGCTGCAACGATGACTCTCGTCAGACCTGAAAAGCGACATCCGGTGATGATGCGGATGGCGCATCGATCACGGATGTTGCTTTCTCTGGAGAAACAATGACAACAGCGGAGCGCTGGTCATGCGGCACCACACCAGGGTCAACAGCACCGGTTTGGCAGTGATACACCAGCGGCACATCTTCGTCAACAGTGGGCTGTGGCGGTTCTTCTTCAACGGCGACTTGCAACAGTGGCGGTGTAACATTAGCTAGGGGTGGATTTTCCTTCACAATTTGCATTCCCGAGGGATTTTCCCCCAGTTTTGTTGCTGATTATCCAAAGTCTTACCATTCGCTTGCTTTCCATGTGTTTGCTGTTTTGACTGTTGCTTTGAATGGTACGAATCAAGCTTTTGCAAGGATGATGCTGCTGTGTTGTGTCAACAGGAATGAAGAGCATGGCCAAATGTTTTGCATTGGACACAATATTGTCGCAAATTCTCATAAAAAAATTGATTGAAAGTAAGTCACTCATTTATCGCCCAACCTGATTCGAATAGGATGCTCCTTGAGAAGATCCAGTTCTGCATAGACACATGCCACATATGGTCGTGACATGTTGCGGGTTGAGACGTCAATTTGAAGAGGTGTTTCAATGATACTAGCAAATTTTCACAAGTATTAAAATTGGTGGTCCATTTTAGGACTCGCATTCAATGCGTGTCAAAGGTTCATAAACCTTTTAACCAGTAGTGATGAAAATCTTCTTCTAACTCAAAGCAGATAAGGGTATGTCTTAAGTCGATCGATACAAGGGAGAAGCTTCCTTTAAATCCAATAGTTTGGAATTCTCTTTGCAAGTATTCCATTTTTGGCGGGCCTTTAGTGAATTTTCCTACGAGAGAAAGGCGGAAGGAGGCAGCGAATCGATCATCCTCTTCTTTTGTAAGAAGAAAAGTTGATTCGCCTTTGAAAAATGTTGGTTCTGGGTCTATCACGGGTGGTGGATTTTTGGTTGAGTTACCATGTATTGTTTTTGGATTTGCCTTAGATCCTAGAATCTGAGCAAAGGAAAACTGTTGAGGAGGTTTAATTGGTGGTGGAGGGCCTATGGCCGGCGGCGGATCGCCGGCCACAAGAGAAAGAGAAGAGAGATGTTTGAGAAGAGAGAGAAGAGAGAATACTGCCTTTCATTCATCCATGTATATGTTCTGCAATTTTTTGTAGAACATATACATTCGATTAAGTTGCATCGTTTGCAAGTGTACTTAAATTTTTAATGCATATATAACTAAATTAATTAATCAAGCCATTTGTTCACTATTAAAGTTGCGAAATGATTGTCCATTTTTTGTACTATTACTAGTTTTGAGCAATAAAAAAAGAAATTATTTTTAGAGGAGAACAATAGCATTTTCTTCAATGTTAGTTAGCACATGCAAATCCCTTCACAAGTCTTTTATTTGTTATTCAGTGTTTCTTAAAGATTTATTTAGACGCACCATTGTTATGGCATTTTGGCTCCGGATCAGTTTTCATTTAAAAAAAAAAAAGAAGGAGAATAAATAGGAACTCCTTAAAATGCATTAAGGAGGAGGAGGAGGAGCACGATCATGATCAACAAAATCTGCTGCTTAGGCAAGCAAATTGACCTATTTGCAAACCTTTTCATTCAGTTGAGTGAATTTCATCCGACCACTTATTATCTTTGCCTCCAACGATAAAGTGCGTACGTGTTGAATTTCATGTTCTTAATTTTCTAGAGGAAAAGTAACTGGCAGATGTGCAAAGTAAATTTCATTTTACTCTTTTTATCTCGTAAAAGAATTTACATTAATTGTAATTTTATAAACTCTATTAAAAAATAAAAGCAAAATTTACAAATCGCAATGTTAGTTAAATTTTTTGGAGGGTTGGTGTCCTTCACATGATGTCAATTGTAGAATGTTGTTTGGCTACACTGGTTAGGGGGAAGTCTTCTTTCAAATACAATATTGATTGTTTAAAACATTTTTTTTTGTCTAATTCATGTTTCCCTCAGTTTAAGTTATTATTCACTTTGTCCCAAAACAATAATATGTATTAAGTTTTCAAATTCTTATCTATTAATTTAAAAACTCAATTTGGACTATTATTTTTGGACATTTAGTTTTTTTTTAATAGTTTTTCTCCCAATGTCGATGAATAATGCTTATCAATAGTACACACTTCGGTCAATCAAATCCCATAGTGGTTAAATGAAGCATAAGCTCAAATGGTAACCATTGTAATTTTTACTTTGTAGCAACAAGTATTGCTTTCGAAAAATGTAAACAAATAAATATGGCACAGAGAGTAATGTCTGGTTTCTGCATTTCTGCTTATCTAACATCTACCACAAGTACTATATAATGACACTATCAATAAATTAAAACCATCAAAGGAAGGACTAGAACTTAAAGCTTGTTGTTCATTGCTAAGGGAGGAAGTAAAAAAACTTAATTTGAACAATAAATTTTGGTCTGATCCACAATTTGGTTTTGTTAGGATAATCAGTGCTTGCCCTTCTATATGTAGTCTTTTTCCCCTTCATTCGTCCATATTGCATACGACTAAGTTTCTCTTTGGAATATCTAAACAACTTCAAATGATAAGAAAGCAGAAGATTATATCGTACTTGTGCTAGATGTTAGATAAGCATGTTCAATGGTTTCATCATCGGAGCCCAAAACTTGACGTTGAAGACATTTATTTTCAGGTTCGGATTTCTTTTCCATTAATTATACCTATTTTGCTTTGATTGCCGTACGTCCTATTGCTATGTTCTTCACTATATGTTTTCGCAATTATAGCTGAAGATGTAGGTAGTGGATTTTCTTTTGGCGGGTTGATTAATTAATCATCTTACGTACTTACGGATATATATCTTTCTTCCTTTACCCTCTTTCCCAGACATTATGAGTTTTGCTGCAACTACGAAATTGATATTGAACAGGCTATGACTCGGATACATTGTTGTAACTAATTAAGCTCTCGCGAATTTCTTGCTATGGATTTCTCGCTCGGGATGAATATGATTCTGTGTCGAGAAAATGCTGCTCGGAGTTATTTTTCAATCTACAACCCTTCACACTATCCATTAATGACCTCATCATCCTTCCCTGTGTAAAAGGACAAAACGTTCCAGCAAGCATGACGCTGTCAGAACTCATTGAGACAGAAGTTCCAAACGATTGGTTCTTTGGCGCAGGGGGTGGGTGGCGGCGGGGGAGGGGAATGGTGGAATCAATTTGTTTTCCTACATTACTGTGACCCTTTTTTTCCTCTCAATGTTTAGAATTTTTCGTTCGGTCAAAGCTTTATAGTTTGTTTGAATCTTCCGTTGCTATTAGCCTAATGTTTTGGAATCTTCATTTTCACCTTCAAAATGTTTAAATTTCGATCTAATTTTGACGTGATCTCTAACTAAATATAAAACTACAACATAAACTTATAAGAATGCAATAAAGTTTGGTTATTTTTCAACACTCAACACGATCAATTTTGTATACGTCAATATGCCAAATCTAGTTGAGAAGAACAATATGATCTTCATGCTTCACAAAATGTGCAATTTTACGGATAAATATAGTGGAATATTTCTACATGCCATTTTGCAACCAAAAGAAAAAAATGTAATTAGATTCATTAAGATCGTATTTGTGGTGGGTTTCGAAATAGTGTTCATTTTATATTAGAGATTAGGTAAAAAATTGACCGTATATAATTTGAGTTCGCCCCAAAAGTCTCGAAGTGTCCGAATGGAAGAAGAACTGAACCTAATACTGTATTGGAGTAAGGAGAAAATTAAACTCACGATCTCTAAAATAATAGTAAGAATTGCTTGCCGATTAACTGTAAACTCATTCGCCTAATAGTCAATTATTACTCAAGATTTTCACAAGTACGTACAATGATACAATTACTCAATCTTTAATATTAAAAGAGTACATTTTTTCAAACACTAAAATCACTTACTCAATAAAATGAATTTGAGTTGGAAATCACCATTGCAACAGGAATTGGCTCATAAAATATGCAATTCTTCTTATTGATAAAATCATGTAACATTAGTCTCTGTATGCTCTTTTGGAACAAAAACTAGGCAATTCTTCTTCATGAGTTCATGTTTACTGATAAATGATGCTCTTTCGCTCGTTTGGGATATTGAAGCTAAACCTGACTCAGGCTGGCACTGGAAGCAAATAATCAAGTTGAAAAACAAAGCAAAGCTTGAATTTGTGGACAACAAATGGAGGCACTCATCATTAGGTAAGTACACTATTACCTCTTGTTATTACTGGCTGGTTGGTGAAGGGACAAAAGAGTATGCTGCTAAGTTCGTCTGGTCTCGTTTTATTGTTCCAAAACACACTTTCATTGTATGGTTATTCTGGAGGAAACGTTTGTTGACTATGGAAAGATTGACTAGATTGAATATACATGTTGATGATCCTTCCTGTGTGTTCTGTCATAACCAACTGGAGAGTGTGAGACATGCCTTTTTTGAATGCCACTTTACTGCTGGTTTGATGAAGAAAGTTGGTCAATGGGTGGGGTTGAATTCTACATCTAACAGGATGTCTGAGTGGAGGAAAAGAATCTTGGTCATCTGGAAATCAACATGTTTGAAAAGAAATAGTATGTTTGCTGCTAGGCTGCCTGTATATATCACATATTGGAGGAAAAGAATGCTCGCATTTTTACAGGGAGAATTAGAACAGAGGAGGATCTCCTGCAGTTAATAACTAAAGAAGTTCAATGGCGGTTGATATTACTTGAGCAAAAGAAAATGTCTAGCACAACTAAGAACTTTTGGAATGGTACCTTAGTTGATAAGTTGTATATACTGATAGTCTGAAGTTAGAAGGAAGTTGGTGTAATAGAGACTTTTTGGCTTGTAAATATGCGGTGCAGTTGAGAAAGTTACCAATATATTTATTATTTAGCAAAAAAAAAAAAAAAAGGCCACAAATTTTCTAATCGGGGACCAAAGACCAATAGATCGTACTGTACATGATACTTTATATCATCAAATCGGTTAATAATCATCTCCAAAAGTGCATATAATTAATTTTTTTGTGAGGAAAATAAATATTCCATTTCTTGTGAATTAGTTCATATTTGTCGTTGGCTATGGAAAAAAATTTAGATTTCATTTCATTGTAGTTAGTGATCTTCACAACTTGGAGAACAATTGCAATCGACAACCAGTGCGTGGAAAATGACATTTCATAATGGTTAGATGAAGCACGATTAACACCAACCATAACTGCTATTGTAAATTTGCAATCTTTATAAAAATTGAACAAGAAATTAATATTGATTTTGGCAAAAAGAAAAAAAAAGGAAAAAAGAAATAAACATTGGCAGGGAGAGTAATGTCTCTTACTTCAGTTTATCTAACATCAACCACAAGTACAATGGTATAAAGGATCCATAAATTCAAACCCAGGGAAGAACTTTAATTAAAAACTGATGGTTATTGCTTAGCGAAGACGTAAATAATTAACATGAACTGCTAATTTTGGTCTCATCCACACAAACCACATTTGTATTACAGAAACATTTTGTTTTCCCCTCTCTACCTTACCCTTTTTTTTTTTTGGTTTTCTTGCAGTTATTTTGGTTAGCTTATACCGACTGATGTATCTTTCTCGCTTTAACTTAGTGTCTTTCCCAATAAATATGAGATTCGCCGATGGTTCAGCTTTCATGATACGGATCCAGAATTGATATTGGGGAAACCAATATCAATAAACTTGTAGGTAGCTCTCTTGAGTTTCTTGCTGCGTTTAAATAAAGTTGTAGATCCTCAAATGGCTTACTAAGGATGCTAGGTGACGTATCTTGAAATTGAGGGAGATATGGGAGGACAAACGCAACCAAATGTGATCAACAATAAATACAATTCAGCTCTTGGCGAGGATAAGAAAATTAGCGGAAGTCTTTTTTAAATAGTGACTGTCGAACTAATTCAAATATTGTTTTTCACGTATACTACTATTTGTTTTAGAATTGATTATGCATTGTAAATGTCTACCAAAGATAATGGTAAAATTTTATCGCTCAACTTTCATATATAGCTCAACGATTATTTTACATTAACGGTATACTTATTGTGAAGTCATTTCGATTTGAAAAATATGTACATATGTATTTGTACATCTCAGTTTTGTTCTAAAACATTATTCAACCTCGCCAAAAGAAGTTAATGAAACTAATTAAAATCAATCTGAAGTCAGTAAAAAAGTAAATTGGGTCAAGTATTTTCAACCTTGAAATACCGTAACAAAATTATACTGGAAGGTAAAACTTTCTCTTCAGGAATTTTAATCAAATTGGTTGTAATCATGTTTCAAATTTATTGAGTGTTCACAAACTGAAAGCGAGATCGGGAGAAGAGAAACAAGAGTTAGAAGCAATGTTTAAAGTTCAAGTACTTCCAGTGCCACGAAAGTCCATCACAGCTCTAAGGTGGCAACCACCAAAATCAGGAGATATGATTCTAAATATGGATGGATCAGCACTTGGGCAACCTAGGGAAGCAGGATGGGGCTTTGTGATCAGAGATGAAAAAAGGAACTCTAGTGCGAGCAGAGAGCAAATATATGGGTATAGCTCACAGTCTGGAAGCAGAACTAGACAGAATTCTTCATGGATTGAGATTTTGTGCAGAAAGAAGAATTCAAACAGTGACTGTTCAAACTGTAATCAAGGGATCGCCAATATTCTCCAAGAAAAGACAAGCTTTCCATGGCGAACCCAACCAATCTTCAAAGAAATATGGGCACTACTCTACTATTCAAATTCAAAAGTCATTCATATATTTCGGGAAGTAAATGCAATGGTGGACGAGCTGGCAAAACGGGCTTCGAGAGGGGATACAAAGCAATATTATCATTGTAATGAACTCGTAATCTGCTTAAGAGGTAAATGGTACTTGGTCAAATGTTCTTTTCCTTATCTAAGAATAAAATAATTTGATTTCATTGTAAAACTTTTTATCTATGGATAGATCAGTTGTAGCCAACCGCCGGTAGTGGCTTACACTAATTCTGGGGCCTAATGGCCGGAGATCAGGAGGATGGGCTGCCTCGTTCATTTGCTGGTCTATTCCACAAACCTCCAGAGTCTAAACTTGCTGTGAATAAAAAATTCAAACAAGTGAAGTCCATTAATGGATCTCCTATGCTTGAATTTGACGATGAGGAATATGAGAGTCTTGTATCTCCTCACCGACTGAATCATGTTGGGAAATACTCTAATGGAAGGCCGAAGATGGAAGAACTGCGAAAGGAGTTTGATAAAATAGGTTTTCGTGGAAACTACTTTATTGGTTTGATGAACCCTCGGCACATCTTAATACGTTTTGAATGTGAAGATGATTATCAGAGATGCTGGATAAAAAAGGCTTGGATTATCCAAGGGTTTCAGATGAGGATTCTTAAGTGGCAACAAGGTTTAAGAAGACCCTCCATTGGTTCCAATTTGGGTTTCGTTACATTAGCTTCCAATTGAATTCATAACACCACAGGTTCTTTTTTCAATTGCGACGGCCATAGGTAAGCCTCTTCAAATTGACACGCCAACGTTGAATTTGACACGGCCGTCGGTAGCCCGATTTTGTGTTGAAGTCAATCTCACCAAAAACCATCCAAAGTCGATCAAGATTGGCAGGAAGGGGAAGAAGCATGATCAAATTTTCACTTACGAATATATACCGGTTTATTGTATGAAGTGCAATAAAATAGGGCATCAAGTGGCGGAATGCCGACAAGGAAAATCACAAAGTATGGTGACAAAAGAGGCTGAAAATCAGATTGTCACAAAAAACCCAAAAAACCCACGAATAGGATCTGGAGAGAAGGAAGCAACGCAAGTAAAACATAAGAAATTGGAATCGTCGGGTTTAACAGAGAAAGAAAAGGCTTTGATTCCAATTGATGTAGTGCATGATGACTCCATTCCTCGAGAGTTGGAGAAGAAGGTAACTCTTGAGAAAGATGTTGCCGGAAAAAAACAGATTGCAGATTGCGGGAAAGGAAATGGTTGTCAAAATTGGTTTGACATTCTAGCAGAAGATAGCGCTGATGATGAGGAGTTAAATATATTGGCTGATCAACTGGTAGTTGTGATGCCTGATCAACAGGTTGCTGCTGTTGCTGCTACTTCTCCGACAATTGCTTCTTCATCCTTGGTTGTAAATGGAAGCAAACTTTTATTATTCGCAACTGTCCATCATTCGACAGTGGTGGACTGCCGACGGGAAACTGGACGGGCAACAGAAGGGCATGAAATCCCGCAGTTATCGCAATCTCCTTCCAACCTGCAACGAAATCCCATTGATGCCCCAGGTTCAATCTGATCCGAATACAAATTTGAACGCTCCAGCTTCAAACGCGGAACAAACGCGGTCTTCCCCTTCAAGTGCGGAACAAGCGCGGATCAATTCCTTGAATCAGTGTCCCAATTGTGCAGTCAGCGCTCAAATCTTTCCAATTTTTTCAAATGCGGAACAGAGGCTACCTTCTCCATCAGATAAGAGTATTACAGTTTTAAATTCATATTTTCATAGTTTAGACGTGGAAAATTTGGAGTCCAAATCAATGCAACCGTATTCTACTCCCTCAAATCCTGAACATGTTTCCTCTCCAAATAACTCTTCATCTTCAGCGCCTCAAATTGATCCAGAAGCCAAATTGAAGTCCAATTCTACCCATTCCAATAATGAAGATTCATTTTCCACATTAAATCCCGCAGCTCCTGAATTTTCCTATTCCCCTCGACCACAAGAGCCTCTCCTTGAAGTTCTACTTCTAATTTCAGACCCAATCGTGGCAGAAAAACCTAATCAGTTTTTATCCAAGGATGATATGGAATTTGTGAAGAATACTGAGCCTATTAACAAAATTTATTTGATTGAAGATATACAGTCTGAAGGTGGACTAAATCATGCTTCCAACGACTTTGATGAAGATGATTTCGATATGGAATATGCACTGGAGCAAGAGTCTTTATATAGTGAAATTTCTACACCAACATATCACAAACATTCAAAAAAAGCCAAGTCGAAAAAGAGAGTTCAAGTTCGTCGGTTTGCTCTATTGAACAAGAATTCAGCTTTACATAAAGATTAAAATTGTATTTGATATAGGGTTTAGTATATTCGCTGCCCTATTTTTTTAAAAAAAAAGAAAAATAAAAGAAAAAAAAAGATAGATCAATTGTAGCAATAGAGTAGTATAGTCTTAAGTTTAAAAAAAGGTGTCATGGGGTTAATGTTCTAATCTTTGTGAGACACTTTGTTAGTTCTAAAAGTTAGAAAAGGGGTGACATGAGATTAATTATACATAAATCTTTGTAAGGCATCTTCTTAGACATAATTGTAGAGCTGTCATGGGATTTTTAGAAAAATCTTTGTGCGGCAGACTCTTTTTTATTACGTAAGGCTTAAGCACTTCCTGTGTTTTTTTAACTTTTTAATTAATAAAATCGGGGGATTCCGGCCAGGTACCATCCTGGTTCTCTTAAGTGCTCACGTTGGCTATCTCATTTCTTGGCCCGTAAGGACAGCCATTTTCGTTTTCTATTTCCGCTTAATCAGTTTTAATTGAATATTTTTTAATTAGTATTGAAAATGTAATTAGCAAAAAAAAAAGGCAATACATTATTATTACAAAAATTAGTCAATGGTGAGATATTCATATATATAAGACAATGAGTACAGAGACTGATGCTATCATTTACTCAAACAGAGGACAGTAAAAATTAATTGAACCATAAATTTTTTTCATGTGATCCTCCGCCCAACTACCTCTGTTACAAAAATCAATGATGGCCTTCTATATATTATTTCTTGTGCCTTCATTCATCCATGTATATATTCTTCAATTTTTGAAGTTAGCTGATAATGTACGTACTTTGTTTTCTATTTTAAAGGTATCACCCATACCTTTTCTTCCTTTACTAAGATCTCTCGAGTTTCTTTCTATCACTTCCTCGCCTTGTATAATACTGATCCTCACCTAATGTTGGAGCTCTCACCCAACAAACCTAAAGTTTTTCATGACGCAAATCTGGTGCAAACACCAGATGGACCTCTAATACCTCTGGTCTAGAGGGATTTAACCAAAGTGCCACTTTCTTTTTAGTCAATCTCTTCTATACGATGTATTCCAGATCCCGCGGGGGGTGTGGGAGAGTTGGATGGGGCCAAAAGGCTGTACTGTCCTGTCACCTGATTCAGAATCAACAACATCTCAAAAACACTTCCCAAATTCATGGCAACTAAGGCCATTGCCAGATCCCAAAACCAAGCGAACAAAAGTTTCGCTCATTGGGAACCCTGGGGAAAATAGTTTTTGTGCCTTCTTAGTCAACCGAGCAGGTGAAATAAGAATCCTTTTTGAACAATCAGATGGGTCTGCTTCTGCAACAAAGGAAAGAAGGATATTCAATGGGACTCGATTAAAAGTTTCTTCAAAAACAGTCCATTAATGTTATGTTCCCGCGGAAAATGTCACTACTACGAATAGTACTGGGAGCAAGCTGAAAGTAGGGTCAAGCGTCATTCGCTGGAGTGCAAATTGGTTCTCCGTGGGTTTAAGAAGAATGCTGAACTTAATTTGTTTTACTATATTGATGGTCAAAGATTTTTTCCTTCATTAAATTATGATTGAATCTGATATTATTTGTTAGGAAAATGATAAGTGAAGTAGCACTGTGACTCTGGTTTAGTGACTCATGTATGTATAAATGTGTGAATGGTAGTTCATGTGATGATAATAACTACCTCTTAAAAATTAATTTATGAGTGATTTACACATTAGTTACTACAATAAAATCACAATGATTTTTCACTTTCTCTATCACCACTCTATTTGTTATTGTGCAAATTTGTTAGACTTCCAGTTGCTTTGGTTGTAATCTCCTTTTTCACTTTCAAATGTTTGCATTTGGATCTTAGTCGCTTTTTTTAAAAAAAGCTTTTTTTTGGAACTTAAGCTTATTTCTCTGTTATGTTTGACTAAAGACAAAACCATAACACAAATTTTTAAAATGCATCAGTTCTCAACATTTTAGTTTTTCAAATGCCAAGAATTTCAATCATAATTCACATCAAAATTAATTGAGTTATATTATTTTTCTCTACAAATATAACTGTAGTCATAACTCGCTAGATGTGGCATACCAATTAGGTTCACACACATAAGTAAAAATGATTAGAAGAGCTATATATTATTTTTAGAGAAAAATATCATTACTCTTATCAATTTTACAATTCTTTTTAGGACATTGGAGCAGTTGAATTAAATGCCAAATAAATTGAGGTGAACTTGTTAGAGGACACTCTGTACACTCCCACAAATGTGCGGTCTTTCTGAGCAAAACAAATTATATATGCTAGTATTTTGTGACGAAATTTAATTTAACTACATTTTAATCGTTGGCCAAGCACCAGACATGCATATGTGATTTATAATTTGAGATCAAATTAGAAGTTTTATAATTTTTCCAGAGATTATTATATTTAAATAATGGGGGGTTCTCGGTTGTGACCAGTTGCTAGAGTGACGTCATAGAATGGATGACAAGGTGTTTGATTTTTGGTACCTTTAATTCGATTAAGTGGACTTAGATTATTCTCCCTTTGTCCTAAAACTATTGTGAAGTTTGCGAATTTATTTTTAGTATATTTTGCAATAGAAATCAAAATCTAAATAAAACAATAACATTGAGACACAAAAAGTATACATTATTCCAGAATGATTTCTGCACGTGAGGTATGAATTTGTTAACCGAATAAAAAATTTGGTAAGTAGAACTCAGTTAGATGATATACCTATTTTTAAGTACATTGTTTTAATTTAACTTTTGTTTTTAATTTATTTACAAGTTAAAAAAAAAAAAACTATAAACGGAACAATACCTGAATGAAATATCTTTATAATATTTTTTTGTTATGACAGAATTATCATCATCATATGTTGTTTGAAAGGAAACTACTTTACAATTTCATTTCGTTCTAACCAAATCATTATATGAACATTTTTTTCTTTGAAGGAAATGTCTTTACAATATATTTAATATACTAATAGCAAATTCCAGAGAGAAAAACTCTAAGTTATTCTTCTCATGCCAAATCCTATGTGACAGTTTCTTAATCTTTTTTATTAAAAAATTACAAAAATGGATTACTATGTACAATTATTATATTAATAGTAGTCATAATAATGATTTCCTACATCTACAATATCTTGCAAATCAAATCAAATTCCTACTTTCCAACCACCCATATGGTTTTCACTTCTTTTCCTACATCTACATCGTTGTTACGGTTGCCATCAAATTATCAGGCGGTAAATTGTGATTGTGGATTCCAATTCTTCAAATTTTATTTTTCGATCGGTGGATAAACATGGGATATGATAATACTATTTTTTTTCCTACTACCAATCTTCCAATTGTATTTTGATGCTTCCAATTTGTTTCTTCTTCTAGAAGCCCGGAATTTATTCATTCATATTTTTGGAAAAAATTGACAGCTAAAAGACCACTTAAATGAGAACCGCGGCACATGTTTAGCGCGTGTTCTAATTTGTTAAAGTTGTGTTCTATGGCTCATGCCCATATTTCTAGGCTGATGATGTAAGCTAAAATATAATTATGGAATGCTTGATTTGTAAAATTTCCATATCTCTGAATTGATTCATTAAAAGCTTGATTTAAAAAAAATATTTATATGATTTCAGTTTATAAACATTAACGATTTATTTTGGACAAAGTGGAATAATATTTAGTTTTTCAGATGGTCTCTCATGAGTATGATCTTATGTAGTCAAATTTGCTGGAATTTTTATTGTTTTGAACAATTTAATTGTGCATCTTTACATTTGGTAAATTTGTCTAATTTGGGGAGATAAGAAGTATCCGTAAATTGAATGCTACTCTCACCAAATTTATATCGTAAAATCATACATAACGCTTTTCTTTGAACTTGACCATGATCACGTACTTGACGGAACACTCCTAAATTCAATGAAGATCATGAGGTTTACCGCATATTTTGCGTAACCGCCTGTAACTGACGAAGATGTATGTGATGATAATAAATATAATAATTATATTAAAAGGAGTATATTTCACGTAACGCTCGTAATAGAAGAAAATATACATGAAGATACAAATTATAACTCCTATATGAAAAGGTGACAATAAAGTACGACGACCATAATTACTGCACTACATATAGAATGTAAAGTGCTTCAAAGGGTAAAATAACAATACCTAAATGAGTTATAAACAGAAATATCTTAGAAAAAAATTGAACAATTTACGCATACTTTAAAAAAAAAAAAATTATAAATGAACAATACCTGAATGAATCGATTCAATATCTCAATACTTTTTTCTAAAGGAAATATCTTTATAATATTGTGTTCGTTGTAACCGAATCATTATCTTCATAATGTTATTTGAAATAAAACATCTTTACAATTTCATTTCGTTCTAACTGAATCATTATATGAACATTTTTTTGAAGAAATGTCTTTACAATCTATATAATATACTAATAGGAAATCCAGAGAGTAAAACTCTAAGTTATTCTTCTCATGCCAAATCCTATGTGGTAGTTTCTTAATCTTTTTTATTTAAAAATTACAAAAATAAATTACTATGGACAATTATTATATTAATAGTAGTCATAATAATGATTCCCTACATCTACAATATCTTGCAAATCAAATCAAATTCCTAGTTTCCCACCACCCATATGATTTTCACTTCTCTTCCAACATCTATATCGTTGTTACGGTCGCCATCAAATCATCAAGCGGTAAATTCTGATTGTGGATTCCAATTCTTCAAATTTCATTTTCCGATCGGTGGATAAACATGGGATATGCTAGTACAATTTGTTTTCCTAGTACCAATCTTCCAATTGGATTGTAATGCTTCCAATTTGTTTCTTCTTGTAGAAACCCGGAGTTTATTCATTCATATTTTTGGAAACAATTGACAGCTAAAAAACCACTTGAATGAAGCCTGAGGCACGTGTTTGGCACATGTTCTAATTTGTTAAAGCTGTGTTCTATGGCTAATGCCCATATTTCTAGGCTGATGATGAAAGCTAAGA